GCAAGTCAATAAGTTTTTAGAAAAACATAGTAAAACACATTTTTTCGATTCATTTTTCTTTCTCAACATAGTCTCCTTTTAGCTCAATACACTTGATTCAATGATTTTCCAATTTTTTCAAGCCATCCGAATATGATTTGTCCAACCTTCAAAATAAGTTTTTATTTCAGCGATTAGCTGCTCTCTGGTGGTGAAGCTCTTTCCTCCGAATCATTTGTTCAGGGTTGGAAACAGAAAAGTCGCAGGGGGCTAAATATGGCAAATATGCTGGATGGGGAAACAATTCGTAGGGGAATTCATTGAATTTGACCATTGGTGCCGGGCACGTGGGGGTGGTCCATAGTGAGCAAACGGGGCACCCATCTTGCCGATAGCTTTTTTATACTTAATTGTTCTGCAAAATTGAAATCACTGTGCCATGTGAGATGCCTGTAGTCTCAACAAGTTTGCGCACTTTCACTCGTTGATCAGTCCAAACAATATTGTGGACTTTATCGATGATTTCTGGCGTAGCAGCCTCAATTGGACGAACGAGGTGCATCACATGTGGATGTACGACACGTTTAAATTCATTCACCCAATTGTATAAAGTCGCAAACGTTGGTGCTGATGTGTTATGAATATTATTCAACTTGGCTTTGATTTCTTTCGGCATTAAATCTTTCATATGTAGATGTTTGATCACTGCACAAAACTCGTTTTTTTCCATTTTGCAAAAAATACAAAAAAGGTTATTCGCTTTAATTGTTTACAGAAATGAAATCATGCAATGAATTCCGCTCAAAATTTGACAGTAATCAACTGAAAGATGCTACTTGTCAAAAAGTAATTTAACATGACACTGCGAGCGCTCTCTAACAGATTTTTTAAGAACTTATTGACTTGCCCCTCGTATTATTAATTCTTACTAAAACTACTTTTTGTTATAAATAATAAAACAGTTGAGATCTAGAGACGCAAATATCAAAATATTTTGTCTCTATCAACTTTAACTTTATTTTTATACTGAAAAAAATTATGCCTAAATATTTTTGTTAAAAATATTAGAATATTTTATAAGTTCTCTAAAAAATGATATTATTTAACTAAGATATAATAAAAGATAATAAAGCAAATTATTTTAATTTCTTGTATGCAATATTGCGTTATTAATTATATTTGATTGTACATATAATAAAAGTTGAATTTTATATTATTTATTCTTATCAAATTTTTTTAGTGCAATAATCTTTTATATATGAAACCACATTTTAGGAAAGGTTGTGATACCAAAAGGTGCAGATATTATGATAGTAATTTTAAAAATACACCGAGATAAAGAGTATTGGTCAAACCCATTGGTATTTGACCCTGATAGATTTCTTCCAGAAAGAATAAAGGATTGTCACGCATCTTCTTATATCCCGTTTAGTGATGGACCACGAAACTGTATAGGTAATTATGAATAAATTATAAAGTTTTATGATAAATTGATTTATATAATTATAAAATTGCAGGTATAAAATATGGAATAATGAGTATGAAAGTCATACTAGCAACATTGATACGAACGTTCATATTTAAAGTTAATAAAAGTATTGAAATAGATAAAATAAAATTAAGTTTTGACGTTGTAATATCTCCTGTTGAGCCTTTCAAAGTCAAAATTGAAAAACGACGCTTTTAATAAAATAGTATGGAAATATTGTAACGATAAATGAGTAGCAGAACGAGAAAGGGCTGACTCACCTGGAGAGGATGAGAATAACGCGGAGCTAGAGATGTTGTGTCCGGGGGTAGAGCACAAGAGGATCCAACTCCGCGGGGAAACGGGACTTCACTTGGTTTAAATAATTAATTCTGACACTTGGACTAACTTTTAAAAAATATATATATATATATTTTCTTTTTCACTTTATTTCACAGTTTTAATTTTTTAAAACACCTTCACCTTATCTAATATAAGCAAACTAACTTTCACGATACTAACGTCGTGATCGATTGTGACAAGACAGACGTATAGACTGACTGCCCGTGGCTTATCGTGGCGCGTACTTATTCTTTGCGCGTTGCCGTGTCAGCGCTAACATTTCGGGTACACCGCGGTCAACGTCCTTAGTTTCATTATATTCGGGTACAATTATATTGCTAATTAATAATACGCCTAGTCGGCTCGTATGATTATTTGGTTTGTCAAAATGCTTATTGCCGTGAGGGCATCGGCCTCGCAACATTCCTCCCCCTTTGTAAAAAGAAAATAAAGACACGAATTTCCTTTCTATTACTAATTTTACATTTTGAATTCCCGAATATGGTTTACAATCGTTTCTTATATTTGATATAACATTACATTGCTATTTCTATACGAGGGTCGCGAGTCCTCGTGGGTTTCTTTGATGATCTTTTTCTTACATCGCCTTTAATTACATAAACAGTTACGCCTATTATACCTGAACTGTATATATGATTACAATAATTATACTACTACCTGCAGGAATTACGTATTTATTTATGAAAAATGTGCCCTGACTATCTAATTGTTTATTTACGTCGTCTAATTCTACGCTTAATTTTTGTAATTCGGGCTCTTAATTATAGGTTTCAGTTGTGGTTGGTCACGTAGTCTAGTATATTCTTCCACGTGTTAGTTTTTTACAAGTGTTAAACTCTGGTAGAAATTTGTTGTTGTGTCGTCAGCGTAATGTCGGGTGTAGTTAATTTAAATTTCCTATTAATGATATTTTGCCGATCCCGCGTATAGTAATTTTTTTTCCGCTTGGTTGTTACACTCAATGTTTATTTTTTGCTCCTGGGCAGTCGAATACAACCAGATTTGCGGTTCCGTTAATGTGATCCACAACGTGGTGTTTGATAATACGCGTTTCCTTTTGCAGTTTTGGAGTTGTCCCGGTAGGTTTACGAAAATTTGCACCTCGCATGGCGTGTCCACCCTGGTATGGTAGACGGATAAAGTTTGCTTGCAAGTATAAGTGGCATCCTCTCGAATGCATTTGGCTAATTCCTTCTCGCTCAGTAACATGTAATAATGTTTATCTTTTTTGATGGTCATTAAGGGCTGATTTACTTTTAAGAAGACAAAGACATTATCACGTTCCGATGAGGGAAAAAAAATTGCCTTTACAATTTTGTATGAAGGGTACGCTATCATGAGAAATTCTGTCATACTTTTATATAATTCGTCTGCCAATTTTCTAATTGTATTCTGAAGGGAAAATGTAGTCCCTTGGTTAACTGTGCCGCGGCTTCTTGCAATTCCGCGATGATAGTCTCTAGTGGCAATAATCGTAATGTTATTATTAGTCCGTTGTTAGCGTATGTTATACATTGTTTTTATAAAGGTGATAAAAATCTTCATAGACCCCCTGCGCCTGTTACAGGGGAGTGCAAGATTTGACCAGTCGTGACTTGACGGTCTCAGTCAGCTCTGGGGCTGACTGAAGTTGCTGGCCTTACCGATCGCCTACCTGCTAAAGATCCATCTAGAAGAACCCGCGCGTTCTACGAGAGAGGCCCCGGGGCTACCGGAGAATATTACGTCAGGGCCCCTCAGTAGCTAATAAGAGCCGGTTCTGCCCCGGGAACTCCGTGGGAGGGTGAGGGGCAGGGGGGTCCGCGGGGGGTCCGCGGGGAGGGGGAAACCGCTCAGAACGTTCACGGTCTGATGCGGGGTCCGCGGGGAGGGGGAAGCCGCGGAAAGCCGCTCGATCAGCTGGCCTGACCGCGGGGGGACGTGGGTGCGGGATGCGCGGGGAAGAGGGAACCGCGTTGTGAGTGCGGGATGCACGGAGAAGAGGGAACCGCGTTGTGGGTGCGGGATGCGCGGGGAAGAGGGATACCGCGTTGAGGATGCGGGTATCGCGGGGAAAGGGGAACCGCGCTCGCGTTCGCCGCCGCCGCCGCCGCCGCCGCCGCCGCCGCCGCCGTCGCCGCCGTCGCCGTTGCGCACGGGCCCCACCCCACCCGTTATCGCTCGCGTCCCACCCGCACGTTCGCGAAGAGGAAGAGGAAAAAGAAAATAGATATTACAATTAAAATATGAAAAATATTTATTTAAAGTTAGGAAAAAAATATTTAATATAAAATTTGGGTTATATAGAATATATAATTAATCCATCGGCCCGTTGCCATCTGCAACAGACAAAGGAGGCGTATATTTAAAAAGTGTACAAAGAAAAAAGAAAGAAGGATAGCTAGTAAAAAAATACTTACCCTAGTTGTAATACGCAACCGTTCTATTCCCGGTTGCTACGTTCAAAATAACACGCTGCGGCGCCTCTTCGCACGGGCTCGCTGGTGCTTGTGGGCTCCTCGCACCGCCGTCATCCGACACCTCCACCCCGTGCGAGTTCATCTGCGGGTCCTTCCGCAGGCTTTCCGGAGGCGTCCTCGCCCTCGCTAGGGTCCACAGAAACTTATCCTCGTATTTTGATGCAGCAAGGCGTCTGGCCGTACGCAACCAGTACCTGCGACAGCACCAGTCGCAGGTACTGGGTACAAAATATTTATTACAGTTTATACACTTCATAGTCTATACACTTCAATGTCTAGTTATCGTCACTTGATAGATCGACTTCTGATCTGACTGTTACAACGAGTGTTAGTCGACTGACTCAAGAGTCCACAGGAACCCGCGAGTAAAAATGCAAGCCAAAGAAATAATTATTTCTTCTACCTGATAATACCGTGAGGATGATATTGATATATACGTTATATCACACACACGCTTCTCCGAAATGATAGCGGCTATAAAGAATATAAGTGAAATTGAAACACTCGTAACTATAAAAACGCTTTTACGAAACTACCCATCGATCCGATGCAGCTGATCTGCCGAAGCGATACAGCTGATCTGTTGAACCGATACCACCAATCTGTCGAACCGCCTGTTGAACCGCCTGTCTGTCCAATCGAACAGCCTGTCAAACTACCTGTTTCTAAAAAAAAACTGTCTGTTCTATCAAATAGCTATTAGTTTAACTACATAGAAAATCATATTCTTTCGCGACCTTCATTAGTTGGATATATTATATGGGTCAAGATAAAAAATGACCGTGTCAGCATTCGCCGCATCTCAATGCCATGGCAAAGTCACGAAGACGCGTAATATGAAACCATCATCATACAACCAATCGAACTGATACCCCTGTTCTATCAAACCGATACCACTGTTCTATTAAACCGATACCGCTGATCTATCGAACCGATACCGCTGATCTGTCAATCTGTCTGTCTGTTCAGTCGAACCGCCTGTCAAACCGCCTATCGAACCGCCTGTTGAACCGCCTGTCTGTCCAATCGAACCGTCTATCGAACCGTCTATTGAACCTATTCTATCGCTATTGTTCCTAACAGTATAGAAATGTTTTTTTGTTCGCGACCAGGTAGAAATTTGATCCGCATCAAAGATAAATATGAACGCACACATCTCAGTGTAGTAGTA